TGAGGCGTAGTATTTATTACGTATGGAATAGTCCATTATGTTATTATGGGTAAGGTCCCCTAACAATATATATATATATATATATATAGACATGGTGTGTTTGCTTATGTCCAATAACATCTTTTTGTAATCACGTATAAGCTTTGTTGTTCCATAATTAAAGAGAGTAAGAAAGGTACCATAGTTATATTCATTTTTTTTCCGAATAATTTCGATATATTCCATCATCATCAAATTTATGGTATGGCTAAGACAAATAATTGTTTGTTCGGAATAAATTTTTGCTTTTGCTTCCCAACTGGGATCTGTAGGGGACACATTAGTATTTATGAACTCCTTTAGGATCCTTTCATCCTGTCTGCGCCCAGAATGCACCCGATCACGACACAAAAGACCGATATGTCTTAGGCCACTTGAGGAAGTATTATGCTCTCCCTGATTTATATTAAACCCCCAATAGATCGCCATATTTTTTCATCAACAGCTAGAAATGTCATTATGAATAAGAGTTTTTCCAGTTCAGAAAATCTCCCCCGTGAGCGAGTAAACATTAGCACCATACAAATTTTGTACAATTCCCATCCTGAAGCATTAAGAGTCCATGGGTTTATTCCAGTAGGTTTTTCACATAGGGAGGGGGCGCAGTGAATGTACCGCCACTGGTGTCCATCAATATATCAAGAAAAGAACTCTATCATTATTATTAAGTCATATGTAAATTTAAGGATATAGCTCCCCTGGAATTCCTGTTGCAGTTCATGCATCTCGTCAATGTTTTTTTTTTTTTTTTTACCAAGATGAAGACATCGTCAGTATATCCTAAACAGGTCTTCCAAAATTACCACATACACTACCTTCAAGTTTAGTCATATAAACGTTACTAAAAGTTAGACCCAAAACTGAACCCATATAAACATCAACACGTTGTATATATATCTTATTTTTTGTGGTCAAAGAATGGAACTTCGGTAGTACAAGCAAAAAGTAGTTTCCGTAATAATCTGGTCAAATTTTCAGAGGAGGGAGAGATGGGTTATTATATATATTTCTTATAATTATGTCGATCGTTTTTTAGTTTTTCAACATCAGGTGCGCATATAGTTTCATTATCAGGTTTTTGCAGTTTTAGGATTTGGATTAATTCAGGAGTTGATTTGATGCTGTATTGACTGGGGATGTATGGTGTAATAAGTTGGTTAATGATTTTGGCTAGTTGATAAACAGGAGTGGGAATTTGTGATACTCTAATCAGCATTCCATTCTTCACTTCACAAGTAAAAACTTTTAACTTTCACATCAACACAGAAATTTTGTTTTTAAAAATAATGAACAGTACAATATTTGTCTTGAAATAAACAACACCCTGATGATGACATTTTGCTAATGAAAGTACTTGTCATAAGATAATATGTGTCAACACAATACTTTTCTCTTTCTTTTAATAATTACACCAAATATTTTGTCCTTGAATTTGAAAGGATCCAATTAAAAATAGGTAGAAAAACTTGTCTAAATTATTCAATATATATATATATATATATATATATATGATATATATATATATATATATATATATATAATTTTTTCCTCACCGGTAGCACAACTCGGAGATCCCACGTTAAACCGGCCTTGTGGGGAGGTGACTAAATGCTGTTCAGTCTGAAGTCGGACGACCGGCTGATCGGTTGAACTCTCTGCCTTCGGGCGGGGGGTGGTGGGGAATCCGAACGAGGCTACGTCGAAGGACGGAGTCTCTTTCGGGGAGGTAAACCGACCCTGAACTCGTTTGTACTGGTTCAAATGGCATATTTTTGGCCGAGCCCACGGGCTCGGAGATCCCACGTTAAACCGGCCTTGTGCCACATGATGCCCTCGTGGGGGGGTGACTACATACTGTTCAGTCTGGCGTGAGGTCCGTCAGAAGTCTGTCGAGTCAGAGGCAGTCCGAAACAGAGTCGCGTTCAGACAATTACTACTAAACCTGATTGTTCGTACTAACACTTTCTACTTCTCTCTCTATATATTCCTGTTTGTAATATATCTGTGTTATTCCATATCCGTGTTTGAGTTCTTCTTTATTGGTTCTACCTTGGACCATCAACGTGGTACAAGGAACCGGACCATAACATATATATATATAAAGAGAAGAGGTTATAGTTGTTCCAACAAGAGAAAAGTGCATATATTATAAAGAAGAGAGAAACCGCAAATGTTTTTGGTTATTTGGATTTTTTTTTTTTAAAAATATATTATGCTTTATTTTGCAACACGTGTTTCTCTTTTTTGTGTGGTAGTATCTTTCTTGAACTGGCAGTGAGAAAGTTCTTCTGCTTGAAGTGTAATAAAGCAATAAATGTTGGTCCGAGAAAGGGTGAGGAAAGATATCTGTGTTCTTATCTTTTAATGACCCCTGTGTGTTCTTAGGTCTATTTCCATTTTTTGTATTGTGTGGTTTTGTTAAGTGTAAGTATATGTATATTCCCTCTCCATACATACATACTGTCTTAATATAAGGAATTAGTATACACATATATACATACATACATACACACGTACACACACACACAAACATATATATATATACACTTCCTATGTTGTGTGGGGTTCTTGTGAGTAGTCTGTTTTTGCCAATATGTGTATATATATTTGTGCTCCACAGATACCCGCGTGTGAGCATGCATATGAGTAGTTCGATCACTGTATTTGGCCATTATGTGTGCATGTTGTGTGCTTTTCTGTGTGGAGTTATGATCTATTTAGCGCTGGTTTAAATTTGTTTATAAAGTTTTTTCTTGTATTTGTAGGTAAGAATAATTGTCCGTTTGATATATTGGCATAATTTTTAATTCACCCTGGTTACATTTATAGATGTGTTGTGTTTTCTGTTGTCTGGTAATTTGATGTTGCTTTTATGATACCTATATATAAATTCTCGCATTTTGTGCATTTGAGTGCATAAATCACATTTTTGGAGTTGCAGTTTAAATTTTTAAATTATGAAAGTCGTTTTAGGGTTTTCAAAAGTGTAGGAGCTTCCTTCTATAATGATGTCACAAACCCCACTTGTGACTCTCTGTATTGTGTGTTGGTTGAATTTGGATGAGGTTAATATGTGTTTCAGTTTTTTAGATTGGCGTTTGCTTTTATTTATTTTGGTTGTTTTTATTATATTTTTCAGTTTGTCATTCTTGCTAAGTAGGTCTAGATTTTTGTAATTTCTGTAAATAGTTCTGGGTTGTTCTTGTTGTATGTTTGTTCGATGTTACGTTTCTTTGGATTTCGTAGTTGGTCTGAAGGAATTTTTTTTGCGAGTTCAAAACCTTTGTTTATTAGTGTTGTGGGGTAGTCTCGTTTTTTTAGAGTTCTATGTAGTTCTTCTAGGCGGATTTTTCGGAGGTGTTTGTCAGTCACTAGAGTACAAACCCTACGTGCTAGAGAATAGGGAATGGATATCTGTGATTATGTGGTTGTTTTTATTTCTAATGAGTATATTTAAAAATAGTAATTCGTTGTAATTATATTCTTGGGTGAATTTGATTGTTACGTGTAAGTTCTGAAGTAAAGTGTAGAATTGGTTAATATCACCCCATGGGGATTTCTAGAAAATGAAGCAATCATCTAAGTATCGTTTCCAAGATTTAGTGAAGTGGGGTCTTATATTTTCCCCATAAACTCGTCCTATCTGTTCATAGAGGTTTTTCTCTAGGTAAGCTAATGTTAGGGTGGCATTTTCGCGCCATTTTCGTTTCCATTGCGGTACCTAGGGTTTGGATATAGTTTTTGTTGTCAAATTCAAAAGTGTTATTTTTTAGAACTAGGTTTATGCTATCGATAATTCCTTAGTGAAACTGAGATGTAGTGTTTCTGGATGTTTTTCAATGAGATTGCTTCATTTTCACAATTGACTTAAAATCAATTAAATACAGTCCATTTTTTTGTTGATATATTGAAAGTCATTAACATAAGCAAACTTGAATATCAACGCTTGATTTGGATATTTGCTGCAGTAGATATCTGTGATCATTTTAAAATCCTATTTTCCTTCGTTGCAATTGATTTACCTGACTATGGAGAAGACTTCCGCAAAGATTATTCATCTCAAAAATCCGCAAAATTATTAAGATCCGTTCAATTATTTAGAATATTTTCTCTATAAACTGAACAACGTGTTTTTTGTTTTGCGATTGTGTTGCATTTTTACCTTTCATTATTCTTTTGTTAATAAAAAAATATGTCGAAAACAAGCACTCATACATATGTATATTCTTACGAAACCCCCTTCATCCTTTCTCCAACCTTATCGATAGTGAAGGTAGAGGAGGATCGTAATCTGTGTGTTTTTTTTTTTTTTTTTTTAACATTTTACATTTTTTTTTTGTAAAATATATTTCTTTCCCAAGTGGGTCTCTTTCCGATTGATCAGACACGGCCGGGCGGAATCGATTAAGGAACAAACACAATAGGCGACAAACAACAATGGAGACAGGAAATATAAATTTATTAGCAAACATGGAATTGTGGAAAAGATAAAAATAAAAAAAAAACGGCTAAAACAAAAATGACGATATGTCAAGAATAAACATTCAAAGATTGAGGACAAAATAGTGGGAGGAGAGTATCCTCTAAGAAAGGTAAAATAAAAATCAAGGTATGGCCTTGTGCCATACTCCCACGAATTTACAGGACATGTCCTGAAAATTCGTGGGAGTATGGCACAAGGCCATACCATGATTTTTTATTTTACCTTTCTTGTGAGTCCGTGCTATACCTGCACGGATTCACAAAACATCAACATTTTAAGACAATGTTGAAAGGAAAATGTAATAAAAGATTTCATGCTAAATTTGCATGAAAGTACAAACATGAAAAAGAGGTACATTTAAACAAAAACAGGGTACAAGAAAAATAAACTTAACTCAGAATAAAGTCCTTTTTCACTAACAATGTCTCTTAGTCTTATCTACTTCTTTTCTTTTTCCTTTTCTATTTCTTTTTATAAGGGTCCCTTTTTGAGGTCTTTTCTTACTTCCTCTCTTTCTCTTTTCGTCGTCTAGGGGCTTGGCTGATGATTAAGCAGAAAAAGCGTTCCCTCTCTCTTTCGTCTTGGCATTCTTGCTCGAGATGGTCCTTTCTTTCTTTCTTTCTTTCTTTTCCCTCTCGTGCTTTGTTTAAGGGCTTGGTGACAGTTGAACCTGCTTTCTCTTTCTTCGATATAGTGGCGTTCCGCATACGTCGTCAAAACGTGTCCATCCATTCGACTGGGAGATCAATTCTCCTCACAATTTTGCAAACATCTTTTCGACCCATATTCCGAGACATTTGCCAAACGTCCAACCGGTCGCAGACACGGACGAAGACTGACTTTTCCGTTTCACTATTCGTTTCCGTTTTCCTCTTGTCACGTGGTCAATTTTCAAAATATAAACTTTATTATGGGTGGAATGAGGTCATCGACCCTCTCTCTCATCTTCAACACCTTGACCAAAAGAGAAGGAAAGTGTACACTCTGGTCAATTCTTGTCGCCACTAAGTCTACCTATCTTTTTGTATTTACTATCCTTTCATTTTCTGCAAGTACTGGGCTCTTTATTTTAGAATGCTTCTAAAATACAAGCAATGGTATATTTTTTATAACAAATTTAGATCGGGGTTCGTAACAATATATATACATATTTGTATCAGAGTGTATATGAGGTGGTGCTTAAAATTTCCGTGACCGATCCATTTACCAAAATCTGAACAGATTGTTTTCGTCAAGAACTATTCTTATGTCTAAATATGTACGTTTTTTTTGCTGATAAAGGATGAAACTAATTCCTAACTCATTTTTCCAAGTGCATTTAACTATATTTACACAAAAAGTTTGATTGAATTGGTCAATACTTTGATAATATCATATAATAAACAAAGTATTAACTACGCTTTCCCATATACAAATGTAGACTGCTTATGAAATTTTTCTACGTTGATCTTCTATGTCTTACATTATTGTACGAAAAAGAAAAATACTAGGAAATATCAGTATTATTAATGGGCAGAATATTTCATGTCTCAATCATAGAGACCACATGACAAGCATTCTTCCTATTTGTTCAAGTTTTATTAATTTTACCGGATTTTTTAAAGTTTCATTTTCTTAATCAGATTACTGAAACTCCTAAGCGCACTTTATTGCATTTAAAATTTATAACTAAACAAAGTTTACAAGACACATGATTTTCACCAAAAACTGAAGTCAATGTAATTTTGTTCATTGATCTTGTGAGCTTTTCTATTTCTTCTTATGAAAGAGACCTTACATTATCCAGACTGATAATCCAATGTTCATTTTTGCTGATAAAATGCTGTTTACCAATGTAAACCTTCATCTTCACAATGTTCGAGAATATTTTAACCACGTTATGCCAGAACAAGTCAGCTATTTAATCAAACGAGTGTCTTTGAAACAAATATTCATTAGTTTTTTCGTCGAATACAATGGAACATTGCCGTGCATAAATCTCATGCTCATCCTGAAGGAGTTTAGCTTCTTGCACTATTTCCAACGTTGCTTTTCTTTTTCACAAGATCTGAAAATATTAAATAATTACTTTTATTAGTCAAATTATCCTTAATGTACAAATTCGCAATTCAATCGAAGAGTTCGATATTCAGGAAATTTCATACAAATGAAAGCCAATGTTTATATATGCGCAAAAGAAAACGCCTTTCATTCTAACTGCGCAGATAGACGTTACCATCATTCAGCAAATAAACCTTTAGATTCTAATAAATATATTTTATATATCGATAAAACAAAGTAGTTCATAACGTGAGAGCTAATGTATGTGGGCGTGCACCTAACCGTGGCTGAAAATAAACTCAATTTACTCCTAATGCATTTCTGCACACATGCATTAAAACGTTTTCTGTCTTGAATGAATATTTCGTTCTTACTATCTCTGTCCCTACGACAAGAATGTTTTTTCATTGGGTGACTTTAGCTTTATTTTAATCTTTTTTTTCTAAAAATTACAATTGATTTTCGTCTTTTTACACGCGAAATATTAAAATTCGCTTTGATTTTATTTTACAATTGTGGCTATTTTTCTCTCCATTAACTACGAAGTAGTAAATTTCTTTTGATTATCGTCTGTATTTCTCGAATAACTGCTTTCCCAAATCACCCTGCATTTTTTCAAAATTGAAACGGAAAGTAATATTTGACGTCACAGTATTCAACAGCACGTTGACTTTTCTTTCTTTCTTTCTTTCTTTTTCATTATCTTATTGTAAATAGAAAAAAATTCTTTGTTCACATGAATTAGTTTTCTTTTGCTAATTATAGGAATGTTCTGATCATTTTCACAATTGGCTTCGATTGTTACACTTTTATACTTCATTCGATTTAACTTTTTGTCTATTTTGATATTTCGATTCAGCTTGTTTTTATTTTTGATGCATTATTTTCATATGCTTAATGAAAAATGAAAAGCATATCACAAATGAAAACAATAAAACACTATATATAGGGAGAGAAGTGAATTTGTAAACAGTGACTATTACTGCTGCTCGATTCGACTCGCTGATGCAAGACTCTTGGCTAAGTCGAATCGAGTTCTCCAGTCATTGGCGTGTTTATCTAAAAATAAATACGTCTAAATTTACCTTCATCCCTGCCGTGCGCAAATGGCTTATGGGTAGAGTCTCTGATTAATACCAAATTAATCGGGTTTCGATACTAGTTTGAGGAAATCGGATGTCTAGCCACACTGATGAGCTGTGGATGACAGTGTGTATATATATATATATATATATATATATATATATTATTGATTTAAAATATAGTTTTTCGTTACACAGTTCTAACCATGTTTCAAAAATGGAAGCTAAAAGCTTCGAATTTAATTTTGTAATTAAATTAAAGACATTAGTTCCATTTCATCCTCAAGCGAATTTTCGAGTAACTTTTAAAATTACTGGGTTTTAAAGGCACAGCAAAAATCATAATTCACGTTTCCAAGGACACAGAGAAATCTCTTCATCCAGACAAGGGATGTTTGCGTGTTTATTATCGCTGTATTTTGATGTATCAGTTATTAGTTACATTTTGGTAGGGGTAGGGATGTATTTTTCAATGAATTCTGACATCCGTTAAATGCATGTCGTCTGGATTTTTAAAAAAATTTATTGTTAACGGCAAAAATTCTTACGGCATATTTTTCTATTTGTATACTTAAAGATTTTGGGGGTGTTTAGGTTAGAATACGTTTTATTTAACTACGATTTGAAAAATATTTTCACTTTTAATTCTTAATATACTATATTTTAAATAAATGTATTAGAATCACTTACATATGTAGAATTATTTTCACATCAAGTATAAGTATGTATATTACTAGGTAACAATTTAAAAAAAATTATATTTAAAATAAAAATAAAAAAAAGTAATTAAAATGTATATAATTAAATGTATAAAATATAAAATATCTGGATTTATAAGAACATTCTGACATCAGATTATATATCTGGATTTTTTAAAAAACAAAAATTGTTCTTTTCTATTTGTATCTTAAAGATTTTTGGGGGGGTGTTTAGGTATATATATATATATATATATATATATATATATATATATATAATAATTTCTGTCTGGATTTATGGGATGAAGAGTTATTCTGACATTATTTACACTATTTATTTTTCGATTGTATTGTCCTTATCCTTAAAGATTTTGGGGTGTTTAGGTTTTTACGTTTTTATTTATCGATTTGAAAAATATTTTCACTTTTAAAATATACTATATTTTTCGGTCGTTCAAGTATAAGTATGTTACTAGGTAACAATTTAAAAAAAATTATATTTAAATATAAAAGGGTATAATTAAATGTAAAAATAAAATTTTAAAGAACAGGGAAATCTGAACTGAAATATTTTATTTAATCTATTTATGGGATGCGAGTTCTTATTTACATCCATGAAGGTCCTTATCCTTTTTATTTGTTATCACAAAGTTTCGGATTATTATTCTTCCTCAGGGGTATACCATTGTTTAAACGGGGATCGAAGGCTTTGTGTTCAGAAATAAATACAATATAAACGGGGGAGCTTTGTGTTAGAAATAAAACAAAAGAAAGATAAATGACGGAAAGTTTTCAGCAATCGGATTTTTCAGAAGCGGATTACGTTTAAAGCTCCAAGTTCACTACATCAAATTGTTCTACGAGACAATGGCCTAGTAAATTAAAGCGTTGGTTTGTGAATTTGGTAATATATATGAACTATCTGAATACATGCACCATTTAATAGATATGAAAATATAGTATTCAAAATGTTTAAATGTATGAACAATAGAAATTTGAAATCGTATTTAGAAAAGGATCGGTATAATCTTACAGCAAAACTGAAAAAAAAAAAAAATTTCAAAATATAAAACAGCAAAAGGACAGAAGATATCATCATCATCATCACCCAAAAGTTGATCACCAGAAACAATATTAATAATATTTAATAATCTAAAAATGTGGAATTTAAGGAATTTAAAGTCAACGATTACTTCAATAAAAAATGGCAAAGTAACATCAGGGATACCTGAAAAGTGTTAGAATGGATCACTTTAGGAAGAATAAACAACATTCAAGAAGTCGTGTGAAACGAACCAAAACAAATTATTACAGCCCAATCCAGTGTTTAAAAAATTCTGGCTAATAAAAACAGAAAACTGATTCAAATGTCTATGCTGCAGCGGCTCAAATGTTACTGAATTAAGTCGTAAATAGTAAAAATAGTATAAAGTAAACATAATAATGTGGTAGATTTATGACAAAAACTGTACAATACCTTAAACTCGGTTCACAGAATATCGTAAAATGATTTGGATTAACATAACGGCAGTAATTTCATATTTAACTCCATGAAAATAGAAAGTGGATTTAACCGTATAAAGAGAATTTCTAACAAAAAGTACTGTTGTACGCATTTTTCATGATTAACCATTCATTCTCAAAATTTCACTTGCAATCATTTTTTCAGTATGAAAATAGAAATTTTATTTACTTTTGCTTCCACACACTATTTAAAGAAAAATATTCACCAGAAGGAAACTTTTTGAATAAATAAACAGCTTAGCATCGACTTTTTAAATTGCATTTTTCTATTGGATATTTAATTCATTTTTTTGTTTCTGATATTCAGTTGTATTTCTTGTACACGTATAAGAAAAAAAAATCATCCCCTTTAAAATATCACTTGAACTTCATTATGGAAACATTTTTACAGGAATATTTTTACACATATCACGCGTAAAAATACTTAGACGAACGAACATCCTTAAAAAATTAACAAGTGGAATTTGAATTTTTATTCGCGCTTTGAAAAACATCTTTTGCGATAAAACAACAATAATCATAAAATAAAAATTTCTCATGGGTCTAAAGAGTGGGGGTGACGCTAAAAAGCCAAAAAGAGTTATTGAATATCGTTCGTAGAATGCAGTCGTTCAATCTTTTGGTATCAACGAATCAATTGAGCGCTCTATTAAGAGAAAAGAATAGAAAATTCGCGAGGTCGTTTCTGCAGCAACACCAGCATTTGTCATAGGCTGAAACGGTTAATAGAAAAAACCCCAAACAAACAAGCCAACATAGCAATGTGGTGCAGGACTGTCATAAGAAAGGCCAATAGACAATAATAAGGAAATTTTAAGCAACGAAATAGTGAAATAACAAGTATGAATTCTACGAACTTTCAGGCTATCAAAGTTTGGTTTGATAAATTTTAGACAAGGTTTGGTCTACGAAATGTCAAAATAATGCGTGGAACAGCATCCACTGACCAATAACCAGCACAATAATTTCTTGAAATTCTGCAGAAAATAATTGAACGGAATGTTTATTTACCTGAAAAGGTGTTCATTACTGATGAACTGCAATGTCTTGGGAGAAAATACCTCAAAGACTTACATCACACAAAAATAAGAGGAATCTGTTGTTGTGTGCTGCTAATCTCTGAGCTTTGAAAGAAAAGAATAAAGCACTGTTGCCAGTGTTAATGGATGGTCAAGGCATGAAGGCATGAAGAATGACTAAATTTATATTTCTGAGTAGTTTCATCAGTGTTAAATGCCTGGGATACGTAAGTGATTAGATCATTTAAAGCCCACTACACCACACCTCTCTATGGATAGAATTGTGCAATTCATGAATGAGGATCATAAAAAGAGAACATTATAACATTGTAGATGCAATAAGCATACTTTGAAAATCTATTCAATTAATAATACCAGAATCCATAAATTTCTGCTAGCGAAAGCTATGATTCGAATACGTTACTAATTTCACTGATGCCTCTTTGGAGTTTATAAAATTACATGGAATACATTTCACATAACTTTTAATATATTCGAGTATTTTTATTAAAATAATTTATGAAACAGGACCATGTTAAATAATTTTTAGAAACGGGAACATGTTAAATTATTTTGTACTCTAAGATAAGAGTTGGCTAATTATCCAGATTCTAGATGACACTTAACTAATGTGAAATTAAGTACTTCCACAGATCGCTAAAATATGTGCATACCATGATGAAAAAAATGCCCCAAACTTAATAAAAATAAAGTTTTATCGTCAAAATATTTGTTATTATTAAGAGGAAAGATCAAATGATTTTTTAAAATAAAACTTCAGAAAAGTACATTTTATTATTGAAAGACGTTTTAATAAAGAGAATTCCATTATTTTGGTAAATGGCTAAAAATGGCTAAAATCAGAATTTTAGCGATTAAAAAAAATTCTTCCAGTCAATTTAAATTATTTTCAAGTTTCTTTTGAAATCAAATGTATTGATTTTCAAAACATCGTTTAAAATTATTTTAATTTTTTTCTGATAACATTTTCTTTTCTTCGCAAGACATTGTTTTCTTTGAAGAATACTAAAGAAATTTATTCATCGGGGTTATAATTTTCTGTACCTACAATTTCTATATTCCTTTATTCGTACTTTATAAATATTGAATAAATAAATAAATCGTACGTAGGTGGGAAGGAACTTGGCCTATCATGAATGGTCCCCCTTTATCTTTTTTTGCAAATTTAAACACCAGTAAGATTTGGATAGGTTAAAAGTTATGGCAGATTACGAGTTTGTGATCATATTATGCGCGACTCACCCGCGACTATCAAAGGAAAATTGTATGCATTAAACGTATTCTTCAATGAAACTCATTGGCATAGTAATGGTATTAATGAATCTAAGAGGAATACAAATTCAGGGATATCACGGACAAAAGCCAGTTCCTGTGTGACAGGGAAAAGTGTACGATAGAAAAAACACAAAATGTAACGAAAATTAATTGACTAGTTTAATACTTAAAAACGGAATATCAGCGAGAGTAAAGGCAGTTCCAGAAAAGTTTGATGCTCTTAAAAAAGATGCAGAGAACAATAAAAATGAAAAATACGGATGCGAAATGAGAAAAGCGAAACAAAAAATACATAGAAAAGCGAAAGGACATAAAATTAGGACAATAATAATAAGAGACAACCGAGTGATGAATTCAAAATATAAAAGACTAATTTTATAGTAGAAGGAGCAAATGTAATAAAATAAGTAAATTCATGGAAAGAAAGGCCTAAATGATATCGACACAAAATTGAACAAAACTAAGAACTATAGAGTAAAATCAGAAAAGTGTCTTTCATTGCCAACAAAATTCTCCTCATCGTGATTTTCATTCCAAACACAGTTCTCATAATCATTTTGGGAATGAATCCCAAAATGATTCTCCTCATCGTGTCTTTCATTCACAACACGATAGACCTCATTGTGTCTTTCATTACAAAACGATTATCCTCAGCGTGTCCTTCATTCCCAACACGATTCTCGTAACTCTTCGTTCCCAACTCTATTCTGCTCCTCTTGTCTTTCATTCCTAAAACTATTCTCCTCATCGTGTTTTTCATTCCCAACACGATTCTCCACATCATGTCTTTCATTCTTAACACGAGTGTCTTCATCGTGTCTTTCATTCTCAGCACGATTCTCCTCATCTTCTTTCTTTCTGAACCCGATTCTCCTCATCGTGTCTTTCATTCCAAACACGATTATCCTCATCGTGCCTTTCATTCTCAACACGATTATCCTCATAGCGTCTTCCATTTCCAGCACGATTCCCCTTGTGTCTTTCATTCCCACAGGTTTCTCATCATCGTATCTTTCATTCCCCAAAAGATTCTCGTCATCTTATCTTTCATTCCCAACTCTATTTTCTTTATCGTGTCTTTCATTCCCAACACTATTATCATAATCGTGTCTTTCATTCCAAATGCCATTCTCCTAATCGTATCTATCATTCCCAACACGGTTCTCCTAATCCTGTCTTTCATTCCCTACACGATTCTCCTAATCGTGTCTATCATTCCCTACACGATTCTCCTAATCGTGTCTATCATTGCCAACACGATTCTCCTAATCCTGTCTTTCATTCCTAACACAATTCTCCTCGTCATGTCTTTCATTCTTAACACGATTCTCCTCATCTTTCTTTCTGAACTCGATTCGTCTCATCGTGTCTTTCATTCCGACACGATTCTCATCATCGTGTCTTTCATTCCCAACACGATTCTCCTCGTCATGTCTTTTATTCTTAACACGAGTGTCTTCATTATGTCTTTCATCCCTAATATCATACCTGATGGCTTGTATGTATCTCAGCATCCAACAAATAGCTATCTCTCTTCAGATTAAAATTTTTTCCAACAGTAAATCACCGAAAATTGTTGTTTTTCAGTAAAAGTTATTGAAAAACCTTTGCTGTTTTCTCTCATTCTTCTTTTCATTCATTATTGTTATTTTCTTTATTAGCCTAGTTCCGGTCATTGTTTCTTCAGTAGCACATAACATCAACCGCGTTAGCTCATATGCCTGTTTCACTTATTTTTCTGCTTTTCTTGTCTTCTTCATCACACGGCTACACCTCCTTATTATCATTAACATGAATTTTCACACTGAAAGTTTAACTTTAAACTTGAAAATCTTTTTTGTTCCTTCTCGCCGTTTTGTATACTTGAATTGTATTATTATTATTATTATTAAAATAAATGAACATAAAAGAACTGCCTTGCTTTCGTGGCTTCTGATCTTAATTGATTGGAGCTGTTAACATGTACATGTTTTTTTTTTTCTTGGTGAATTAAGATGAACTACAATATATATCACTTTTAGTACTTCAAATTTTTCAGTTACCGGCCAGTAGGGCTCGTTTCCCGGGTGGGGTGGTGGGGTTAGATACACTGTATCTCTGTTCATAAGCGGGTGAAGTTGGGAAGCATAATGGCTGGGTGTCAAAGGGTTGTTTTTTTTTTTTTTTTTTTTGAAGGATGAGACTGCCAAGGCAACTTGCTAATCATATCTAGTTACTGAAGTTATTTCTAACTGGACCAAATCTCCAAAATTTACGCTGCTTTTTTCAAAACCATATCGCGCACATTTGGTTGTGATGCATACGCTTGATATGCCGTTATCAAATTGTTATGATGAATATATGAAACTTTGTATATGTGTACCCCGGTGTCACTTTTTGGTATGCTTGTTTTTCACTAAATGGTAATAACTGTACTATTGAACTAATGCCGATTGCATAGTTAGTTATGGGGAACTTGTGGCCTTATACCAAGCTGTGTCAATATATATATCTGCATAATGTAAATTGCAAATCAACATTATGAGAAAGGAGCTGTTAGTGCTTTTCTTTTCATATAATTATCTTCACCTTATCACACTTGCCATTATAAATCAGGTAGTAGAAGATGTTAAGAGATTTGTCAGCATTATTTGGCTCGCGGCCTAATGGCATCTGCTTAACAGATTGCTTAGAAAAATGCTTTTAAATGGAATCACATTCAGAGTCTCATTAGTTTTCTGTTTTCATCGCTAAATTTGTTCGTTAACAGGTTTTTGCTATTTTTGTGTTGAACGACCTTATGGGGGTCATTCGTTGTTCTCATTGTTCTGCTACACGAAGAATTTTTATAAAATGAAAAATCGATGTTGTTATTTTCGGAAGACGTTAGACTCTATTAGTCAAGCAAGTTAGGGAGTTTTATTTATTAAATAAAACGTAGATTAGAACACTTCCGCCCTGAAGAATAAGCAATAGGTAAATGGATTCATTTTCATCAAGTACTACGATATGTTTGCGAACAACACTCTCCAGAGATATCGTCACCCGAAATTAAAACGGTTTTCTCTGTACGTGTAGTTTTGAGATATTTGCCTTAAAAGTTTGGCTAACCATAACTTGTTCATAAATTGTCAGAAACATGTCTTTACATACGATATATTAATTACATGCCATACAAGAAACTTTGCAGACTTTTTAATCCCAAAACTGTTTAAAAATATGATTAAGGTTCTAGAAGATTTGTTCAAATAAAATGATTCCTATAACTTTATTCGCAATATTCCACCGAAATTTTGAAGATGTGACACTATATTATTAATATTATTATTATTAATAATATAACATATTTTTATAATATTATTATAAGATAATATTATGTTAGCTCTATCACTGATATTGAGTTCTTTCAACTAAGTACCGCTCATAAGATATATATATATATATATATATATATATATATATATATATATATATATATATGGTGTACCAAAATATTTTTAAAAACTTTGGAGACGGTTGGCAACACCAAAACAAGGTAAAATGTCCATATAAACATATGCCCAAAAGGTCATCATTGTACGTCAACACAGCAACTCATAACAAATGTTCAAAATCTCCTCCGCTTGCTACTACTACGTATGCAAACACCTGTCAGATCATTAGCGGATCCTGTCAAATACTCCCACACGGTGTCCAAAGGTTTCGCAAGACCACCCACCCTGACACGTTGATGAAGTGTCTCTGCATTATAATGTTTTAAAAAAAATAAAAAAAATAAATATAATTTATTTAGTATTCTTAATTTAAAACTTTGCTGCTGCAAACATTTAAGAACGCTATACTCATAGTTGACTTGATTTATTTTGGGCCGCAATTCTCAAATGAGAAAAACTTAAAATTCTGAAAGCCCTTTATATAAAGGGCTTCCAGAATTTTAATTTTTTTTCTCATTATTATTTTGATGAAATTATAATATATTTTCGGCTAATAATTGTCTAAACTGTGAATGTGGACATGAGGGTCCCTTTTAAATGTTCTGAGATTAAACTAGGCTCATTCAAGTGAAACGTAAACATTCTCAACAACGCCGTCGTTGTAAAATAAACATATGTATTAACATTTTTATCTGAGATGCAATCTCTCAAAGTAAATTTAAATTGATATACAATGTTAGACTTTTATAAGATACTAGTTGAAGGAGAATAATTGTTTTGGACGGTTAGGTTGGTTGTATTAAATTACAACGACGACGTCGACGTAGTAATTTGTAACAAAAAGTGAAAACATATTTTGAATTTACAGAGCTACTATGTACACATCCACAGACATTTTCAACCTTTAAAGATGGTCTCAGATGAGATTCGACGTACTTGGGAAAATAAAAATATTTGAAAGAAAATTTTGGTATTTTCCTTGATTAATTTTCTACAGACACCAAGAAATATATATATATATATATATATATATATATATATATATATATATATATATATATATATATAAAAGGACATGGGATTAAATCCATTTTTTATCCAGAGTCAGATTTTGTAATGTTCTTTCCAAAAGAAAAGTTTTGCAGACGGAACATCGTTTTAGATGTAATATTTTTGCTCTACATGTGAGAGATATTGGATTCAGCTTCCCATGTAGGTATTTTATAGCAGTCTAACTACGATGAAAATCTGGCATTAAACCTATATTTGTCATTGGCTGATCATAATTTCTTAATTTCTTTGGATAGTGTATCAGTGAATAAAAATTTATTGACACTGTCACAACATAAATGTTACAAAGAGATTCTTTCTTCAAGTATTCTAAGGATACATTAAACAAATGTATACGCAGAGGTGGGGCATAGAGGGTATCCTCCATCACTGAATTTTTTGTGAGCACTAAAAGAAAATTTAAAGAATTGCTGAAAAAAGGCCAAAAACATAAGAAAAATAGAATGTCTTCGTCACAATGTTTGTAAGAGGAACGATCAAAAATTGTTTTGGTTATAAAATTTTGATTTTATTTAAAATTTGTACTTGAAATTTGAACGTCTTTTTACAGTAAAAACATTGATTTAGAAATTCTTGCAAAAATCAGATTTTCATTGGGTTTTAATCAAACTTTCAGAACTTATTCAGAAATGAATAGAATTACTTTTTATAAGTTTATTTTTTAGAAAATCTTTCTAAAAATAATAATTAAATATACATTTAATTTTAATGAAATTTTGAGAAATTCTATTTTGTATCGCATAATATTTACATTATTTAAACAAATGAGACTCCCAGATGTAGAAAAATCTACTCTGTATCGTAAAATAAAAAAAATGTAATAAAACTAAGACATTTTCATTCAGAAAATGTTTTAATTGCTTTTATGAGTAAAATATATTATGGATACTATCTTCTTACAAAAAAACATCTAAATAGTGGAACTGATCTGTTAATTTGTTAGATTTATTGTCTAAAACTAAATCCTACTTGCCAACCTTATTAGTTAAAATGTTAATAAAAATGTTCCAGAAAAATATATGGTTGGTTCAACAGGTCTGTAGCTTGACATATAATAATTGAATAAACTTCATCACCTTTCCCATGAAGTAAAATAAATGAATCTTCGATATATTTATGAATGGATTTTTTATCTAAAGTATGAATAAAGCTTTCCGCACTATGAAAATATATTGACTCTATTAAAAAAATGCTAGATTATCCACGGATCTCTTAATGACTCTTAGAGTAAAAAGTTGTTGTTCGGTGGCAAAACTACACCTTCACGATTATATTATAGATAAGATTATAATATACTTGATCTGACTAGTATTTAATTATAAATTACTTTTATTCTAAATGTAATAATTCATGTAAGATTCTGTCAGAGAAGCGCAAAATAAAACTCTGATTAGGTAGTTTTCTGGTTTCGATAATTAAAAAAATAAACGCATTTGTTATCAAGTGTATATAAAATATTACGTAAATAATTCATCATTTAATGCCTAAATAATATTGTATTACTCATAAATTTATGAATGTATATATTTATAAATAAATAATATCGTATATATTTATAAATTAATGAATGATATTGTTTTAGTCATAAACAGTTCTGAATGTAATTCAAATTTAGCGTAAATTTTATGAAAATCCGATTTGAATACTATGAATATGGTGATGATAAAATCAAAGACAAAAGCAGAGATCGGAGGCCGTGCTGAAAACTTCTCGGCCTGACTCATTATCTAAAATCTAATAAAATTACAAAACATCAGAATGTGTTTTTGAATCTATTCTTGGTCGGTCTGAGAACTTTATTTCATCCGTTGTGTCGATAAAACTTTTATTCCTTATATTAAGCGAATTAATAATAAAATTGATTTCACTCTAGCAATTTGTTGTTGAACGTAAGAAAGGTTTATGCAACCAAGGAAAGAAAAAAACTCTTTAAAAGGAAGTGTTTGTGATATTGGTACTTGATTCATGACGATGTCGAGGTCAGCTGTGTTCGAAGATACTTTTATCTCAATTGAAGATCAACTGATCGATGCGTTAATTTCACACTACACTGAAACCAT